CCTGTTACTCTGATCCTATTGCCAGGAACCCCTCCCTCCCCGGCCATGCGAGGTTGTCCCTAACGACGATAAACACATCAGCAAATTAATTCACCTGCAAGGCTCACATTAAATTTCCAGCTATAATGGCCACAGTTTAAACCCTATAATATTGTGCATGTACGTGGCAATAATTTGCATATCAGACTCCTCCCACATCGTATATCTCCTACTTGCAGTGGGAGATATACTTGCAGTGGGATAAAAGCAGATATTTCCGAGTTTGAAACACACATCAGCAAGGAAGAGTGGGAGAGATGTCCTCTGTATTTCTGGCTGTACCCTGGACTCACATAAATGAGACAAATAGCATTTATAACCGTCACGCCTTTTTGTCCTCGTTCATTTACGTTGAAGGTCCTTCATAGAAAATACTGTTTATTTACCCAAAACTGGGAGCTTGTGCCCCTGCATCAGCAGGGACAGAACAACTCAGTCTGTAAGGTCTGGAGTGTACCAATTATATTATTATCCAATCTAATGTCACATGAGTGGTATCTCCTTTAGATTTGTGTGGAAATCTACAGTTTATTTTTGACTATTTGACTGTTTTTGCCTTTTCATTACCTCCTGGCAAAGTTGCACAGCGACTGAATAATTCCTGATAAATCAACTCTTCCACCTGCGTTCCTCTCCTCCTCCTTGGTGCAGAAGGAGAGAAATGGCAGGGAGAGGAGGAACGCAGAGGTGTATCTCAGATAAAGGGGCCCGATGGCCTATTTATTGGAACAGGAAGCAGCCGAGAAGGAATTTCCTGCTCCTTACTTTAGATAATGATGCCCGCCGTTCATTTCTCACCCCCCTAAGTTCCAGAGCATAAAGGAGAGGGAATGACTGTTTTTCAGTGGATAGCAGTCATTCGCCTTTAGTGAAGTAAATCTGAGGTCTCTGAAGGATTCTTTTAAATGTGACTCATTTACTGCTGCGGAGTTTCTAAAATGATGAGGAAATGGGCTTGATTTGCACCCTCTTTTTGTGCGTCTGTTGACGAGTGTTCTCTCTTAATCCGATGACACGGTACCCCCTTGTCGGTGAGTCGCTTACCCACTGGGGCCATTGAATAGTGACACAATGCGCATTGAGTTTGGCACAATCCAGGGCTGCAAAGCCATTGGCCCAGACAGACTATTTGCTCCCCCCCCCCTTGTGTATCCCACTAACTGCCCTGGCAAACATGTACAGTATTGGCATCCTACATCACAACAATTTATATTACATTACACATGTCAGGTACCGTCCTTCATTTTCATAAATTAACATTAAAACGTGTTTGATTACAGCATAAAAGTTTTCTTAATTTATGTGACACAAATGTGCTCTTAAAAACCACAGTGCTATTTTTTTCTATGCTCCTCACAGATATACTCTAATTCCTTCTTTTATTTTTAGTCATTTGCGTGTCTGAAGATAAATCACTGCAGTGTATTTGTTTTCCACTTGTGAGCTGTAAACTCTACTGCTCATTCGCAGTTAATTAAACATGCATGACGACAGCTTGCCTGAAGGCACGGCAAAAACGAATCACTCCTGACAAACCGCTGGCTTTGCAGCCAAATACTGAATTGAAATTGAATTGAAATTCCTTTCAGTTGGGCACAATGATACCAAAAGATAAAACATAATGAAATTCAAATTCAGAATGATCCATTTGCATTATTTAAATTATTTTAAAAGACTAATATTAGCATTTTTCACACTTCTGCTTAAAATAGGCCCAAGTTCGAGCAGCTCTGCTATCAAAAACTATAACTGCAATGTGAATTTCCAAGATAAGCTGCATATCTGTGAAATCTTTTTGTGAGCATTAAATTCCAAATGACGTGCCTTTTCTTTGCGAAAATTAAAAAAATATCATGCGGACTGATTAATTATACTTCACTGACAGTTTACAATGGAAATCACTCAAAAGACTACATGGATTTAAATGATAAAAATGGCAAATATGTGTTTTGCATACATTTGTATGTCTGTTTTAATGCAGCCCTGAGTTCCTCTCTAGCCCTGCTACTGAAGTAGAGCATCACATTCACACGTTTGTTCCCCGCGACGTTTCCTGAAAGGCGGTGATCACTCCACCAGCCGTGTAACAGTGTCTCCTGAAAGGCACTAATTTTAGACACTTATATAAAAAAATAGGACCTATGTCCCATTTAAATAACCACACAAGCAGCCAGAATACACTAAGCAGATACTCCATTAACTAAATTAAATAAAGAACCTTTGTGAAGAAAGACAGTGTGGATATTGTCTGGATGGCAGCTTTTTATAAATATTCCGTTAGTACTGTCAGCTTAATGTAACACAAGTTCTCTTTTCATATAATCGATAAATTGCCCTTAACCATTTTTTGCCCACCCCCCACCTTTATTACATGCATATTAATTCCTGTGGCAAGCAGTCCAACTGTAAATATAAGGCTGGAACATCGTCCGTCCGCTTAAGCGTTTTCCATCACGCGCCACAAAATGCGCCGGTGCAGCCGTGAACGAGCAGTGACTGTGACAGATGGAGGGGAAGCTCTTTAATTTTACATGGAGCAATAAAAGCTCCACCTTATGAGATCTAACAAGTGTCTCCTTTATGGCTTTTGTGCGTTTGATGCTTGAAAAGCATGCATGACGAATGAGCCTGTCTGATCTTTGCACTAAGTGGGGGTTATGACTGTTTATAGCAGAATAAAGCCTCGTGGTACAATAACATCTCTCTCCAGATGAGTATTATCATTACCATACTTATCATCTTGTTCACTGGAAGACGAACAAATTCCCTGTCATTTTAAGCACTTTCTTCAGTTGCAACCAATAGAATTGCAATTAAGACGTAGCTGCTTTATTTAATCTTTTTGCTACACCACTGCCAACCAATTTATTGTTCATCTGAATCAGTGTTTTATCACTTTTCCCTAAACGGTACTTGAAAACAAAGTTAAAAAAACAAGTAATTTACAAGAAGGATGTGGTCAAAAACGATGTACTTTGAGTGTGAAATGCAATTACAGTCTAATGCAAAAGCAAAGGCAGGACCTTTCGCCTGCTCATACCCGTCACTGACTTTCCTCGAACCCGTGTTCGCTGCCAAAGGGCTGCCTGTCCTGTATATATACAGTACACCGTAGCGATGCTCTCGTGCGGGAAGTGACACTGCTGACGCCCTTCTCGTTTATTTTGTTGCCGTGTTTTTGCGAGAGAGAGCTTGAGGTGCCAAGGAGACAGATCTATTGCCTGTTCAAATATGTTGGTAAAACTACCATATCGCTCGGTAAGCTTCAGTAATAAAAGTTTAATGGCTCATGGTTTAATGCTAATTAAATGCATTAAACATAATGGCAGGAGAGGTGAAGGGGGTCACTTTATATGGGTCAAAAGAAACAACAAACGTAATTAAATATCGCTTTGCTGAGCGATCTAACATTTAGATTGCATAAACAGAAAGCCGATCTACTAGCTGTTCATTCATCATTCCGCATCCAGCCCCATCTATGAAATTGTAGGATGCCTGCAGTTCAAGGTGCTTTATTACTGTGCAATCATGTGCTAATTAGTGTCAAATCCCAGATGCCCCCAAAGCACTGGGTTAGGAAACGCCCCCTTTGCTTTCGAAATCACATGTTCGGCGTGACGTCACGAGGTCGCGCTTATTGAAGTGCCCTGTCTAGGATTGCGTACTAACAGAGTCATAAACAGTAGAATGAAAACAGATCAGGGTGATTTTTTGTCTAGATCTGTAGTCCTCTTAGAAGACAGATCGCAGCTTTTTTCAGGGCCTTGATAATTAGAGATTTAAATTTTCTATAATGCAGTGCAGGACATGCAGATAGATAAAAGGGGATTTGAGGGGGCAATTTTTTTAAAATGACATAATGTTTTTATAAGTGTTCTTGGAAAATTGGGGATAAAGCCAGCAAAAAATGAGGGGGAAAGTAGGTAAACGTCCATTTCAAATACGATTACAGAAAGAGCTTTTAAAGGTAAGCAAATAATTCCGGGAATCTGCATAAATGCCTCCCATTAATTTTCTTCTATAAATTTCCGTAGGAGGGTGAAGCGAACCTGAGGTTTGGTTACAGTTTCTAAAAAAGCAATCAACATTCTCTAAGAGTCTGTCTGGGAACATGACATGACCTAATGAAGCAGCGATGTTTTTAACAATTAACATTTTTAAAAACCAATGTGAGTAATAGATCACCTTTAGGTGCTGAATGAATGGATACATTCCTTTCTTTTGTTGGTGACAAGTTCTGCATTGTGTCTGGAAAATCTAATTTAACTGTAGTCTGCTGAAAACACAATGTATCTGAAAATTGTTTGAATAAATCACTTCAAATCTAAGCTGAAACAAAAAGTCTGGTGTATTTTTTTCTACATTAACTAGAAACACAGTTAATATATAATTTATATATTATATATGTATATATAAACAAACAATGGTATTTGTGGTCAACATTCCGATGTAATTAAATGGAAATAATATTGAGCGGAAAATCACTTATTTTGTGTGCCTGTACTTTAATTTTGTGATCGAAGGTGTCACATGTCTGTTGTTGATTCTTGCATCCCCCCGACCCCCCCCACCGATTCTGATGTACCATTCCTCAGGTGCCTTTATGACATCCTAGGCAGTCCATTGCATATTATCTGAGAGATGCTAGAAATTAAAACTGAAAATAGAAAATAAAATCTGACGTAAGCCACTACAATGTAAAAAGACAGTGTAATAAATTAAGCAATATTATTTGCCAATATAGGGCTCTGTGTTCAAATCTCTCTCCTTTCAAGGTCGATTTAAATGCCGTGCAGTTTGAGGCAAATGGACTGCTTTATTTGTGAAAGGTCGCTGAAAAAGCCATTCAGGAATGCTCTGCTTGTCTATTGATAACCAAAGAAAATGTGCCAGGACGAGATAACAATGCCGGGTGGCTTTCTGCAGTCTCTATGAATTCATGATCATTTTCCATCTTCCAGGAAATGCCTACCGGGAATGCATGGAGAACGGCACTTGGGCTTTTAAAAGTAACTACTCCGGCTGTGAACCCATACTGGAGGAAAAGGTTTCTTTCCGCCATATTCTGTCATGCCCAGTAGTTGATTTTGGGCCAAAGTTCACAAAAATGCATCACTCAACACACAGAGCTTTGATTTTTCTATTTCCCCTCATTCATTGCATTAAACATTCTGCTTATTTATGATATAAAAATGACCTTTAGCATTTTTATTCAGAGATCTGCATTTGTTAATAATAGCAAATTGTTACAGATAAACAAAGTCATACTGAGTATACTGTTGGTTGTTTGTGCCAAGTACCCAAGGTTTAGAAAATGGCACAGAACTCAATTTCCCACACATTTAAGTAAAAGAATAGAGCAGACATCAGGGAAAACTCTCTGATACGATTTTTTGTTGGAGAGTAGTCAGGAGATCTTTTCTTGTGACAAAGAACATCGATGCAAAGCAGTCTGTTAGTCTTAGACTCCCTGATCAGTCAAAGCCAGAGGCAACATAAAATGTAAATCTTAGCAAATAATGGGCCCCTGTTCTTTTGTTTGTAACATATTTGTAAGGATATAGGATGTTTGTGATTGATGTGTTGCATATTATGTCACCCAGGATATGTACATTAAGCTTAAACTGTTTCTCCTTTTCATTTGTCGCCAAATGACCGTCAGAGGAAGTACCCCATGCACTACAAGATTGCTCTCATCATCAACTACTTAGGTCACTGCATATCCGTTGGAGCTCTTGTCGTGGCCTTCATACTTTTCCTGTGCTTGCGGTGAGTACAACCTTATGTTAGTTCAATGTTTCCCAACCGGTCCTCGGAGACCCCTAGTCCGGTCCGTGTTTTTGCTCCCTCCCAGCTCTGTGCCAGACAGTCCGCATTTTCGCTCCCTCTCAGCTCCCTAGAGGGAGCAGAAACGTGGACCGTCTGAGGACCAGATTAAGGAACATGCGTCAGGTGGTACCCTTACAAAAATGGCACTTTTAACCACTGATACGGGTCTGTTGTACGTAATTAACTGCAAATCACATGGGCATTTTTAACTATACATTTTTATGTCTTGAATTCTCATACCTAGATTTTACTGCCTTGAGTTTTGCTTGTGTGTCTTGTGTTTCATTTGTTGTACCAGGGGCGTCAGAAGCATTTTGAATGTGGGGGGGACACACTGGCATAAAACTAATATTTATGTTAAATGTGGGGGGTCCAAACGAATAATTATGAAATGTGAGGGGCGACGCCCATGTGTTGTGCATATTTAAATGATATTTCTTATTGTTTTTGGACTATGACCAAGAGGAACTAAATTTCATCTTTCATCTTTCTGTATGATTCACGCATCACTGAACTGAGCTGACAATAATGATACTTTGACTTGACATTTTAAAAAGGCAACGGCAGCAAATGTATTTGCCAGTTTATTTGTTCATTGACTAATGTTAACACTCTCACGGAGAGCGTCCTTTAAAGTGCCAGGCCAGACCTGCGGCTCTTCAGAGAGAAACCTTTATCTGACACTGCATAAATGTTCTGGCAACTTAGATCAAAACCTGGAAGTGTTTACGTTACCACCACCCAGAACTGACAATAAAGTCACTCGTGAATCAGTGGTATTGGTTCCAGTAATCAAGTTTTCAAATTAAAAATACATTGCTTCATTCTGAAGAGCATGTAGGATCAGAGTAAGGTAGCTATATTTAGGCAGCATTTTCATATCCATGGAAGATGGCTCATTGGAGTTTTACTTGCACAAGAGTGATCCGAGGGCAGAATGAAAAATTATTGGTTCAGAGAAATAATTAATCATATTGTAGAGGAGGTGGGTTCAAGCAACTAGAGGAGGTGGGATCAACCAACCATATGTCTTGGTCCAGCCTCCACTAGCTGCTTAGCCCCACCTCCTCTACAATTTGATTGGTTATCTCTCTGAACCAATCATTTTTCATTCTGTCCTCCTAACATCTTTGTGTAAGTAAAACTGGGAGCTGGGAGCTGGGAGATGATGGAAGAACAAATACGGCAACTGTAGCTTTCTGATTTTCAGACTTGCATTCATCATCCAAATTTCCGGCATGCAGAATTCCGGTGTTTACGATGTGCAGATAAGATTTGACAGCACTGTCGACTCCAGTAGGGAGGCTCCACCTATACAAAGGCCATACTGAGTTGTGCATTTTGTCCTTGAGTGCAGTATTAATGTTCATCTTGCGCAAGCCTGCATTTACAAATATGGCTACGCTTTGTGAACAGAAAAATTAAGAAAAATAATCACGGCTCTCTGTAACACTAAGCTTTAAAAAGTAAGTAACACAGCTTAAATTTTGTTGGACTAGTGGGCCTGAAAGTTTTCCATCAGATCTGTTTTGGGTGCTTAGATATGTGTTAAACATGCAATTAAGATGCACCAGTGCAGAAGCAGTTTTTAGTGTAGCTAACTGAAAAATTGCATGGTTGCAAGAAAAAATAAAGATAGCTTAATCCAAATGTAATTTGCATATTAACATTACAGACTTACATAGTTATAAAAAAGACTTCTTCTTAAATAATTAACTTGATAAATTTAGAAATGTACTTAGTATATTTATTAAGTTTAAAATGGTCATACTCATAAGCTTTGTAAAGCTAACGGTCCAGTGTTCAGAGTGATAGATCGAGAAAGACTTGCACATGAATAAGAGAAATGTTTTTAGTTAACTTATGGTTCTTAAAAAAGGTTCCTCTGCAAAGACTACTGTTTGGGAACGTGCATCAGAGAACCACTTTGAGTGTGCACAAGAGCGAAAAGGCTCGAGGCAAAATGTGTCTTTCTGGGTAGAACTATTAATGTCAGGCTGAATAGTTCCCCAAGTGAGAGGAATTCTCCAAAAGATGCTTAACATCGAAGAAAAGCAACAACGGAGAGCAGCTGAAAGTTCTGGAGCGGTGAAAAATAACAGATCCATGTGTTGATTTACATTTTTTTTTTCCTCCCCATAAAGGAGCATTAGATGCCTACGCAACATTATCCACTGGAACCTGATCACCACCTTCATTTTGAGGAACGTAATGTGGTTTCTTCTGCAGCTGATCGACCACAATATTCACGAGAGCAATGAGGTACCTCGTCCATTTGCCCCCGGTACACTTTGCATTGAGTTGATATTCCGCCATCTAACACTCACGCCATCCCCCCTTCATCGCGCTGACCGTTGTTGATGGCTTTGGACAGCATATAATTTACAGCTGACAGAGTACCGCCCCAGCCCCCCCCACACTCTACTCACCATACAGCTTGTTGGCATCGCATGAGTCAGGACCTCAAAGAATCTTTGCAGCTGAAGTTATGCTGTTATGAAAATGCTTCTGAGTAAATGTGCATTTGCATTCCATTAAAATTCTCTCAGCATTAGATAATCTGTCATTTAATACAAACATTTACGTCTTGTGTCCAACAACAACAGCGACTTCTTTGAAAGGATCCAGAGTATAGAATCAGTGTCTTGATTTTAGACAGTCTTGAAGAGCTGTTCTGTTCAAGGTGTAAATAGCCCTGAGTCAAAAATGTGGATATCTGCTAGCAATAATGATCTGACTCTAACGAGCAAACAACTGCATTTTCAAGTAATCTGTCCTGAAGTAAGGTCACGTTCGTCCATCTTACGCTCAGTTTTAAGAAACTAATTTTAATGAGCGGTGCCGCTATACACCAATCTGCAAAGCATTTAGCATGTCCAGACATGCAGTGCTACATTATATCAAACTGGGCCATGTTTCCCAAAGGAATTTGTAGTGCCACACAGGATAGTAAATTCTAATAAAGTCAATTTAATTCACAATCATGGCACTGATACTTCTGGGAAACGGACATTTAATTTGTTTTCTTTTTGCATTCATGAACATTGAGATGATTTTTTGCATAATATGAAAATCCATAATCAGTGAAAATTATGCAGTGCAAATGTCTTAGGCAGCCAAAGAAGATGTTTAAGGCTATTCATCTGGGTGGTATGTGTATTTTATCTTAGAAAAAAGAAACACAATTTAACATTAAAACATATGCAAATTAAGAGCAACACAATAAAAACTAACAAGAATTTCTGCTCTCCAAAACGTTGCTGATAACTCCTTGGATGGCTAGATGAACATCGCCTCAGTGCCCAGTTGAATTTCTCCTCAGGGGCTTGTCACCCATTCTGTGTGTTCTTCACGTTTCACAACCAATAAACAGTCAGTGAAGGATTGATTAGTCGCACGAGGTGTGCCAATGGTCAGCTCAAAAAACACATGGGTGTATTGGATGGTGGCTGCAAACGCTGGGGTGACTTTAGGAGAGGTTTTGAAATGACTATGCTAACGCGCTTTGACAGACATCATACAGTAGTTGCATAATTTTCTTTGACTGCCTAAGATTTTTGCTCCCTACTGCATTTCCCCTCTTTTACTTTACAGCCTTGGTGCCGCCTTATCACGACAATATATAATTATTTCGTGGTGACCAACTTTTTCTGGATGTTCGTGGAAGGATGCTACCTTCACACAGCCATAGTGATGACGTATTCGACCGACAAGCTTAGGAAATGGGTTTTCCTTTTCATTGGCTGGTGTAAGTATTTGTCGCATTTACTTTTTACAGTTTTCCGTCACAATGTGTAATTAGCTCTACGGCTCACGTCCGGAGATCTCCCGACTGCTGTAATACAAGCTAGACGGCTTTTTATTCACTGTACCTGTAAATGCTTGCGTTTAGAAGAAAGGTTTTGATGAGACTGAAAAGCAGCACATGCAAATTTCCCTTACCTATGATTAGTGCTGTTGCCAAATGATCACGAATTTAGAGATAGTGAACATGGACTAAAGTCTTTAAAGACCCCTGATTGAGCTGCTTTTCAGTCTGCATGTGACTGTGTGAATTAGACATGCTTATGCTGAACTAAAGTGTGAGGCTCACTCTTGGCTCGTATCGGCGCCTGACTCACATGTGGAAGTGATTTATGTGTATATGTGTATATATAGTGCTGGCTGTCAAACAAACAGAAGATGCCAATGCAGAATAAAATAATAATTCATTTCGTAATATGCAGCTGTCATAGACATGAAAATTAGGGTTGCTGCTTTCCAGGGTACATGTCCGTGACCCACTCTCAGCATGTGAAAATTAATAAAAGTAAACGCTGAGAAAATTCACCATGCTGGGAGTGACAGACAGTGTTTTGCTGGCTGGGAGAGCTTCCGGAATATTCCTCTGCATTGCTGTGACAGGAAGAATTGCTTTTAGTCACCGGTATTTATAACAGAGCTGCCATCGCGTTGTCTCTGTGTGGGAACATGTCACAAACGTCGGCGTGGCGACTCGCGAGCCAACGGTCTGTACTGCAGGCGTCCACCTTCAGAGACCCTCGTGCTTAACCCGGCTTTCCACCACAGATCTCTGGGCACCAAACACGGAGCAGACACTTCACGGTCTAACCTACAAGTCATAGCTGACAGTGCTAATTAACACTAACAGTCTGTACAAGAATCTGGAAGGCTTTCTGAGTATAAACAGTCGATCCAAAGAAGCTCATTTATCAACATGTAAGACAAAACCACACAACAGTATCTATACTTACAGTATAATGACTTGTAAATGATGTATTTATTGCGGTGCATGTTGCTTCATACTGTGAATTGCATTACTATGATTTATGAACTGAATCATGTTATAACAAGGATAATACACAGGAATACAGGCAACTGAGATCAGTCCTCATAGTTCCTCCTAGACTCATAGCCTCTTTCTCAAACAGCCAAGCTAACATCATCCCTTCGCTAACTTCATAGCTCTGTCTCATTACTGACTGTTCCATTGGCTTCTCTTATTGCTGCTGGCTGCTCTGTTCTTTACATTGAAAGTAGACTTAGTTCCTGCTCGATTCCCTTGGGCGATATTTATTTGCAGACATTTTCTGATGTCGGATTTTAAGTCTCGTTACTCTGGTACTCGTTAGCAGAACTATCTTGCATTCGTGACCGGCCACTCATTGGACGCTTAGGCTAAGGGTTCTCGTCCAACTTCACTCAAGAGGGCTGCTTTTTTTTTGGAGAATTTCCTACCGTTAGCCGAGGAACAGATAGATATAATTAAACATTTACTGTCGTGTTGTCTCACAGGTATTCCGTGTCCAATCATTGTGGCCTGGGCTATTGGAAAACTCTACAATGAGGATGAACAGTAAGTGAATGCCTCTGTACTGCAGACTATACATGAAGATATTTGTTGTGTCTCAATTCACTGGATACATTTAGACAGATAACTTTAAAGGGGGCTCAGGGTTTAGGTCAAATTGATAAATATTTAAATTTATTTAAAGTCTGCTTATGTGAAGACATACATCCTACTGTAGAGTAGCAAATCATTTTATTAATGCGATCAGGCAAATAATCCCAAAAATGCAAGGTGACAAACCAAAAACCTAATTTAGTATCTGTGTATTTTTGTGCCAATTTAGCCGGGATCTCCGCTGCAAACTTCCAGTGTTCCTGGGTTTTGCATAATCGGCTCCGTATATGACAGAGCATCAGTCAGCATCTCTGGGCTAATATGCACATTTCATGTGTGACCACCTGATGTGAGAAAGGAGGTGTTTCTCCACAGTGACGTTTTATACCTTAAAAATACTGCTGTATTTTTAGCTTTTGACTGCAGGGAATCTAAAGCCTGCACACCACAATCAGGCCTGAAATATGTTAGGCAGCAAATTCATTCTTAACAGATATATGCTTCTATATTAGCAGTCTGCTATATATAAAGCTCTAAGTTTTGCCATGTACCATGTATGGGTTAATGTCTCTGCCCCCTGACCTCTACCCCCAGCGGAATTCCTTCTTTGACCATTTTTAGAGAGATCGCTTCATCACAATACTATCTGTCGTCCCAGATGTGCAACATCAGCCTCATAAAACAACAGAACAAAAAGATCAAACCATTAAAAGTGATAAATTAAAAAAAAACAACCCAGATCACGTTGTAGTTATATTACATGAAAACATAACAAATGGATGTTACACGTTTTGAATTTTCCACAACAAATGTGGTATAAGTAATAGCATGCAGGATTAATTTTATTTTTGTAAGTAAATAAATCTCTTAAGGTGGCAAGGCGTCTCAAACTTCCAGATCTCAGGGTTTGAATCCCTTTCCTGTGCATCAGTTTGCACATTCTCCCACAGTCCAAAGACATGCATTTAGGCTAACTGCATGTCTAAATTGCCCATAGAGTATGACCATACATGTGCCCTGTGCTGGACTGGCATCCCATCCAGGGTGTCCCCAGCTTTGTGCACTGCGACGGACTGGCATCCCATCTAGGGTATCCCCAGCCTTATGCACTGCGCTGGCCTGGCAGCCTTGTGCACTGCAGTGGACTGGCATCCCATCTAGGGTGTACCCAGCCTTGTGCACTGCAGTGGACTGGCATCCCATCTAGGGTGTACCCAGCCTTGTGCACTGCGATGGACTGGCATCCCGTTCAGGGTATTCCCAGCCTTGTACCCTACCCTGCCTGGGATAGGTTCCAGGTGACCAGAACAAACATGAGATTAAAAACTTAACTAAAAGTTAAAAAGTTCATTTAAAAGTTAACAAAGAAATAGTGCAGTTGTATTCACTTTGTTTTCCTTGAATTCCTGTTCGCATTTCTTCCTTTGAATACACATTTGACACGTGATTTGTTCATTTGGAAGGCAATTTTATATGCGGTGTCCTTACTAACACCCAGTCCCAGATATTTCCAGTGAAGCAGATCACATTCATTTTATCTCCACCTTGTTGTGCCATCCAGCGTTTGCTGCAGAATTGTTCCTTCGAAAAATGCACTAATTTTTCTTGATATATTATCATAACTGATGTGTTTGCTCTGAATGAGAAAGGCACATTGAGAGCTAATTCCTGCATAATTCTAAGGAATTGATTTAGTGTCCTTTGTCAGTGGATGCTTAATGTTCTCATATTGTTCAAGCAGTCTTCAGTGATACATTGATAGATTGAAAATACGGCCTTGCACAGAACTAAGTGTGTTGCTACCATGTCATCTGTCAGACACACTTGTCATTCTAGATTTTTTTTTGTCTCAGTTTTTTTGAATATCTTGCTGCCAAATTCTGGTTTCTTTGGGGCTGCAAAGTAGAGACACGATACAGAAGGTTTCAGTGCATTTTCATTCTAGACACAACGTTACACTCTGCTCTTTGATCTCTCCTTAATTCTTGCACCTCCAAATTTAGGCTTCCTGATGCCTCGTGCTTAAATTCCCTCATCGACCTTGTGGTGTCTGTCTAACCTTGGTTCCAATTGTTTCATCCTATTTCATCCAGCTGCCTCAGAAAGAAATCAATACAGGACATAAACACAGGACACAAATACAGGACACCACAATACAGAACACAGATGCAGATCACAAGTACAGGACATGAATTCAGGACACACATACAGAACCCAAATTCAGGACACATATACAAAACACAAATACAGGACGCAATACAGAACACAAATACAGAACACAATACAGAACAACACATTTCAGAACACAAATGCAGAACAGAAATACAGGACACCACAACACAGAACACAGATACAGGGCNCAATACAGAACAACACATTTCAGAACACAAATGCAGAACAGAAATACAGGACACCACAACACAGAACACAGATACAGGGCACAAATACAGAACACAATACAGAACAACACATTTCAGAACACAAATGCAGAACAGAAATACAGGATACCACAACACAGAACACAGATACAGGGCACAAATACAGAACACCACCATAAAGAACAACACAATTCAGAACACAAATGCAGAACTGAAATACAGGACACCACAGTACAGAACACAGATACAGGGCACAAATACAGAACAACACATTACAGAACACAAATGCAGAACAGAAATACAGGACACCACAACACAGAACACAGATACAGAATGCATATCCTTCATTCCCTCCATTGACCCGAAATACGATGCATATTATTACATTTATAAGATGTCCTTTCATTTAGGGGTGTATATTTGTACACACACATATACATATATATATATATATATATAGTTTTTTTTTTCTTTTCAATTTTGTTCTTTTTCAAATTTTGTTTTTATGGAGTCCCAAACACTTGCACGCTCACTCATGGGATTTAGAGAGCTAACAGCTGCTCCTTAGCTGTACTTAATGCGTAGGGACAGTAGCCGTGAAGGGAGTGACAGTTATAGCTATAAATATTGCATTACAAACCATATAAGGTCCATTGTGTTTAAAACATCTGTCCCCCTGCAATAACAACCAGTACCTCTGTGGTACCAGTGTAATATGAGGTCTGTGGCACTGGAGGCCAAATGCAGGACTGGGGAATCTGGACCAATTTTTATGCTCCACGGCATCTCTCTCTCTCTCTCTCTCTCTCTCTCTCTCTCTCTCGCTCTACTACTTCTCTCTCTCTTGCTCTCTCACTCTCTAAATGTAGCTGGGTTATTATGCAAAGTGACACTGGCGTCTATTTTATTTACAGATGTTGGTTCGGGAAAGAACCCGGAAAGTATATTGACTACATTTATCAAGGACCAGTAATACTTGTGCTTCTGGTAAGTAAATAAAAAAATACATACAATAAAAAAAGGTAGAATGTATACGGTGTAGTAAACATGTAATACCTGAAAATGTAATGGTATAGAACCCAGTACTGAATAATCATCATCTTGTAATGTACTATTTTATAATATTGTTGTGGTTAAAAAAGCCATTATGGTTACTTCCACTAAAAGCTTAAACGATACAGACCTTAAAAGACTTTCTGTCCCTTAACAAATGGCATGATTCAATAGAATGAACCCGTTTCGGCTTTTAGAATTAGATGCTGGATGTAGTGGCCTAGTGTTTGGCAAATGGTTTGAAGATCCAGCTGTCTCATGTTGACAGCTAAATGCCCTTTTAATGCCTTAAAATCAGGAAATCAGTTTGAAGATGCGCTACTGCGTGTTAGCGCATGCATAATCGCATCCCCGTGAGCCTGCGATTAGGCGCGCATTTCCCACACCAGTGCCACATTAAGCTGCGGATTCTCCTGAGGATTCCGGATCTCCCGTGTGATTCCGGAGACGCAGCTGCCTTTCCGTCGTGCATTGTCACGTTTCCCTGGCAAGTTTCATGATAGGATCAAGCGATGGCAGGACTTACAGTGCCGTAGACTGAGAGGAGCGCAGGCAACGGCGCTCAACACCACATGGCGTGTTTCTGCGACGTGAAGAAATATTTGAGAAAAGTTGTGTGTTTTTGGGGGCTTTTAAATATATGTGGAACCATCAACAGAACGAAGACTAGAAAGGCTGAATACTCTGGTTTAAATCCCATGATGCTCTCCTGGGTTAATGTCCTTTCCAATCCTGTCTCACAGAAGGGGCGTGTATGCATTAAAAACTCCCCAGTGGTCTAATGTATTAATAATATACAACACCTGAGTGATCTGATGTATTAGTCATATAATGCAGCTTCATTAAGTTACTGTTTTCCAAAATGAGCCGGGGAATGTTACTCTACAAGGACAGCTGCATGTGCAAATACGGCTGAGTTTAGCAAGGATGGTTAATTTTATAGCGTCCCGTCACACATGGGGTGCTAAAAAATAAAACAAAAACAAACAGAAGCGTTTAATAACTCATAGCTAAAAGAAACATTGGGCTTATTTAGGAAGCAATGGGATGGGAGTTAAGCCAAGCAAACAGCATTGTTTGTCTGTGAAAGATCTGAGGGCTTTGCACATTTACAGATCTTCAGGCCAAAGCCTTGGAAACAAACAGCGCTACATCACAGTGCTACAAATGTTCCACCCTGTTTGGTGCAGCAGTAAATTTCTGGTTGATTTCTCGTCTAAAATACACACAAACCCAAAAGTTTCAGGCCACCCATCATTAAAATGTCTTCCTTTTGTACTGAAGAGCACTCCGCTCTGATCTCAGGGGTTTTTTTCATTCTGTCTCTTTGTGTCATCACCCAGAAACAATGACACCAAGCCTAGACACACTCTGTGTGTGTGTGTGTGTGTGTGTGTGTGGCCATCCTCTGCCTAACCACCCATTTCCCAACACTCCTGCATATAAAGTGTCCAACAAAAAACTTGCCCTGAGTGCACGCCACAGAGAATGAGTTAAACCATGCCGATGGTCTCTAGTTAATCCTTCTCCGAATACTGAGTGAATGTCTGCACGGAGCTTTCTGGGGAAATGACAGGCTTATCACGGTAGTTTGAAAACACTGGAAAAAGCCCTGACTCTAACCCAAATGCAGAGTGCACAACTTAATTCTGGCATCCAAATAAATTATACATCCTGCTAAAACGAGTATGTGTTTTCCTCCCCTAGATAAATTTTGTTTTCCTGTTCAACATTGTGAGGATTCTTATGACAAAACTGAGAGCCTCCACCACCTCTGAAACAATACAGTACAGGTAAGGGGGGGGGGAGACATCCAGCATTGTGAGCTCAGACTTCATTCAACACCAAGTCTGCTAATTCAAAGCACAGGTCCCTGCTTAATCAGCCAGTCACACGATGCAGCTAGGTGACATTTAAAACTTCACATGTATTGTAATAGTGTGTTTAGTAATTCATCATAAGCTGACTTCACGTATATTGCGCTTCTAAGTATGAACGAAGGTTAAAAAAATCCATCATCATCCTTATTGGCACGTCGTACCTTAGACTGATTCTCCATAATCACCGAATCTCTGCTCTTATACACTCTTTCCACGTGACTCACATTATCGCATGGCAGTGCCGGTCTTAGAATGAGCTGGAGATTATAGACTTCCTGCCATGAAACGGCAGGTAAAGCACCTCGGGATCGAAGAACGCAGCGCCCACGTCTTTTTTGGAATATAATAGAAAGTCGCTTATGGCAATTCTGCATGATTAGGGGTTGTGGTGATATAATTTAAGGAGTTGCAAGTTATTGGTGGGTGTGTTACAGTTAAGGAAACTGTAACTTTTTTAATAGCGGGGCTATTGTGATTTATGATGAAGAGTTCTATTGCAATTCATGCCGGTTTGAGTGACAGTAATTGGGGACCAATGAGGATGAGGGTGTGGGAGATATTTTCGACTTTACAATGAGATGAATGCTGTTTCCCTCCGCTTAAGTGGAGTATTGAATAGTACAGGGCTGTAGCATCTAGCTACCTGCTGCTTGTAAAGACCTCTGAATTGCGCGATGTTGGGAAGAGCGTAAGTATAATGTTGATGTGTTGATTTGGGGGACGTCGCAGTTTCTCTCGAATGACTAATAAGACTTGCTATCTAAAGAATTTCAACACCATTACCCAACAAGTAACATCAGCACTAGTTCCACCTGCTTAACGTCATTTCAGCCTGTTTTATAATCCGGGAGAAATATCTCGCTGTGATTTTAAGGCCGTTGACATAAGCCATCTCACACTGTCACGATAATAACTCGATCCAGGTGACTTCGGTGACAAAGACTGTGTTCACGTGCGCTTTGTTATGTTGCAGGAAAGCAGTGAAAGCCACACTAGTGCTGCTGCCTTTACTGGGAATCACCTACATGCTGTTCTTTGTGAACCCTGGGGAGGACGACATCTCTCAGATCGTGTTTATTTACTTCAATTCTTTTCTGCAGTCATTTCAGGTAAGAGAACTGGCGCATAGACGCTTGTGAGTGTCTGATCATATTAACTTGTTTGCAAAGCGCACCGTCGCTTCCCCTAGACATTAAATTATATTTGGTACCTACCCAGCATCTAAAACTGGAATATGTACCCTGACACAGATACTAACACAGACCTTTGTGTTAGCTGTCACGCTTCGGAGGTTGCAAAAAAGTGAGCCAGCGTGATCCAAAAAAGTCACACAGGAGTAAACGTGAAAATATGCATCATGCCCTGTGTATGTTTTACATCATAGCATGCAACTTTTTAAAGCCACGTACAGATTTCGTTTCTGGATGTGGAGCGTAAGCAGCCGTAAGATGATGTTGCATGCGTCTCCCCACAGAAGCAGAAAATTAGACACTCAGAAGATATCATTTGCTATGCCTCGCTGCACCTGTGATAACGTAGAATTAGCTACCATCATTCATGTAAAGCAATTTCAATGAAAAATTTGTTATACCTCATTCCGAACAGTGTGTGTGGAACGCTAGTCTTTAATTGAATTAAATCGTTAAACGTTTGATTTTTTTTTAATTGATTACTTCCTTGAAGTCTCTTCTCTGTTGTTCTATGAAGCAGGAAAAAACAGGTCAGCAATGTTCATGACTGACAAGGTCTGTCTGTGTTGTTTTTCTCCTTTCCTAGGGGTTCTTTGTGTCAGTATTTTACTGTTTCCTAAATGGTGAGGTAAGCACACGAAATTTCATGTCACATTTACACATCGAGATCAGATTAGCTATCGGCTCTGATTGGGCCTACTTATGTGCTGTGAATAGTCATGACAGCTAGACAAGGCTGCGTTAACCTGGCATAACTAATGTCTTAATCCAACACATCCACAGCAAAGCTGCCAGCTCTCACGCATCTGGCGTGACACTCACGCTCTCAGATTCTCATGCTCACACGAGAAATCTGTATTTTTCCATTATAAACCTACAATTAGCTGCATCAAAAGCGTTGGGGTAGTTTGCAAACCCTACAGATTATTTACAAGGTCATTAGACTTTTATACGCATTTAAATAAGTGTGCATGTGTGTGCAGACTTCAATTGTAGATCTCACTCCAGCCAGCTAACCTTGCCACAGTGTCTACAAAAACCAGACAAAGAAATCTTTGATCTAAGGCAATAATATCCTTTAGCAGATTGTTTTACATTGTTTCTAGCTATTGAGTATAATGTAATGACTATGAAGCATTTGAAATCAAACCAAAGAGGCAGATAAAGGTGCCTTGCATGTTTGTGTTTACTAGTATTTACCCCCAAGTAATCAATACAGCACTGAACAGTCATGAGCTGACCTCATCGCTGTTGTAAATTCCCGACGAAGGCTCACCCTGATACTCTGAATTCCCAGCAATATGAACTCTCTGTGCTGTGGATAATGTTAAAGCAAATGTTAGGACTTAATAACATTATAATACAGGAAGTTCAGACCCATTAATCTGGAGAAATATATACTGTAGATGGTTCTGAAAGCGTTCAAAAAGGAAAAAAGAGGCACAAAGCACACTGGCGGAGAAAGTAATTAAGTTTAATTAACTGAAGCTAGAATTAATTATTTAATTTCACCATATTCTAAGGGATAGATAGAACTTATCCAACTTTCTGTGTTCTGTAAGAACTCATCCAATGTAGAGTCAAGTTTGTTTTTATGGATTACATTTCTTCTGTGTAATGTAATAACTGAACATCGCGGTCGTAACAGGGTAATTAATCATTTCATATGAATCATGTGTCACATAATAGAGTTTTTCTTACTCTTGCTAATATGGTGATTATTGGGGGGTTGAGGTCTGTTTCATCAGTCATCTGTCAGGTGCTACTGTTTTTGTGGGGACCTATAGGTCACATGGCAGCAGAGCCGTTCCCCATCTTCGTGGTTATTGCCATCACGGAAACAGGTCACGCAATAAAATGTTATGGGGTATGATTTGCAGTGATTAAAAGACAATGGGCTGTTTGTGAACATGACCACAAGAGTTCATGTGTATGTATTTATTTATGTAAAAGCATATTTGGAAGAAAAAAAAAAGTCTTTGTTCAGTTTCTGGGTTAGTGAATGTTTATCGGTTAGTTTTTGGGCTTTTGAAGTTATGGACTAGCTACTGTTATTCGTAAAGGTGAGCTGCTGCTTCCGGCTTCGCGTTTCAGGTGCGCTCGGCCGCGAGGAAGCGGTGGCGGCGCTGGCAGGACAACAACGCGCTGCGGGTTCGAGTCGCCCGGGCGATGTCCATCCCCACGTCGCCCACCCGCATCAGCTTCCACAGCATAAAGCAGACCACCGCCGTCTGAGCCGCTGCGCCCGGGACGGAGCCAGGCGCCGACCCAAACTCTCCTGCTCCTCGCAGCAGCGTCTCCGTGGCAACACCGTTGCCTCATGTCCGTGAGCAGCTGGGCTTCCTGATGGACCCACCATGGTCTGTGGCCAGGCCTGGTAAATGGGAGGAGTTTCTTTTTGCACAACAATGACTTGGTGCTGTATTGTGCATCTAAGAAAGCTGGACCAAAATTTTCCGTTGCTGGAGGACAATTTCTCCCAGAAAGACCTGCGAGAAAGAATCCCTCAGAAGCACCTCTGGTTGTGTACACAGTGGTCTGGCTTACTATTAATAGTCTGTGCAAGCATTCATTATTATTATTATTATTATTATTATTATTCCATCTTTTCTGGTCAGGGTCAATGTATTATAGAAGGACGGATGTAGGTTTCATGTATTTTATTTACTGAAGAACCTTTCAAGGTTTAAAACATGGTTAAATTGCATCGGAGTAAAACGAGGGCAGTCATTCATCCTTTTCCTCAGTCATTTCCTCATATTAACCAATCAAAATAAAGAATAATCGAATAACCCAAAGCGATCTTTCCCTGGAACAAAAAAAAGACTCGCAAGTTTATAAAAAGAGGTCAGTGGGGACAAGCAAAGACAATCGACACAGGCCTCTCTGGCTTGCCGTTCCTGCACATTTCGGAGGCTGTTAAAAAATGGAACACGAGACCCACACGCGACAAATTCAAAAATACAGCTACATGCCAAGAACCAATGAAAGTGACAACATGTACAGCAGGTCCAATTTCTAATACTTGCATACATCATATGTAATAACCAAATGTCCCCACAACGTGATGAATACCCATTTTTTTTTTCCTTATGGGAAAAGTGAATTTTATAAAAATCCGTGACTGCAATGAAAAAACTAAAAATGCAAAAAGTTTTGTATTTTGTTTGGCCACTTATGCTTATGGTTCGGGCTGGGTAGGGGGTTAATGTTGTCATAGTTAGCGTTAGCTTTTTTCCCATAGAAACGAATGAGCGGTCCCCAAAAAGATAGGATTACACGACTGTGTGTGTGTGTGTGTGTAAATCCTGGCACGTTGAAGCCCCGTCTAAATCAGCATGTGGCCCTATCTGCCCCCCCCCCCAGCTTAATCTGTGCCAGCCTATCGATGTCATGACCCAAAGCGCTGAGTTGTCTGCCTGTGATCTGATCTGAATCCTGGGAGCGCCTCTCCCATATGGGTCAACTGATGGATCGTGGTGCCGTTAACGGTCAGTGCTCGGCGCCCGTGGATTGGCCAGCATTTTAATTTGACAGCACCCTGCCCCCCCCCCTGCAAAACTGCAAAGCGTTTCCTGCTCTCAGATTGCAATGCCACACATGTCTCATAAACAACAGGAACTCAGGCCAAAGAAAAATCTCCCCTCAATGGTGAAGCGACAGAGGAATCAGATCTGTGGGTCATTATTTCCATTACTGACGCGTTTTAAATATGTTTCACGACATTGAAGGGTTCATTTGTAAGCATTCAGTTCCACTATGCAATGAGAATCTTACTTTATGTGTCCTATCTCTGAACACGAATTAAAACAAAGCACAGATTAGAAGCACAAATATATTCATCGCAAATCTATAACTCACAGAAAAGGCACTTTCCCTTAAAATCACAGGTAGGAAGGATTGTTGTCACATCTCAGGCCTCATTCGGTGTTAACTGCTATGCGTTTAAGGCTGTTCTTTGCCTTCTGACCTGGGAGAGGAGATTGAGTGGGTGGGGGCGCTTATTATCTTTGCCAGGGTTTTGCAGAGAAGGTGTCGGGTGACGGGGAGGTCGTGCGCGGGCCCTTCCGGCGCGAGTTGCCGCTTTGCAGTCTGCCTCCGCCCGGTTAAGCGGTCGGTCTGTAATTATAGCCACGCAAGGCGGTTGTGAGACCCTCAGCTGCTGCAGCCTCATGTTCCATCCTTGGCTCGGCTACGACCCCAGACCCTACTGGGAAATGCAGGCTGAAGGGGGGGGGGGATTTATCATTTAAAAAAAGGTGTAATTTTAGGCTTCGATCAGATCCCTGATATACTTGTAAATAAGCTATTATTACATAATAACGATTACATAACAAAAATTCTCAGCGTGATTCTGCGAGTACTCACACTGATATAGTTAAGAAGGTTTAAAGCCCAGTAATTCATTGCCCATTGTACATACTAAAATTCCCAGTGCGAGTTTGAAGAATGATATGAATATCTTACTATTATAATACTACTTGAATACAAAGGAGACTATAGGAATATTTCTTGTTTTAGTCAAATCTGCCTCTGGGCAGACTTGGAAGTTCTGAAGAACTATTATACAAAAACAGTATTACATCAAAATTGTCAAAGATACTTTGATGAAGCGTAGAAACTATTTCACATTTACTTTTTCCAGCCATTCTTCACTGCAAATTACTGCCAAATTTAGATTCTACAGCAACCAAAGTAACTTCTTCGTCATTCGGAACAATTTCGATTTTACCTTTAGATGAATTCTGCCATTGTAACTTGAAAAGAGTTTCAACCAAATGTATTTAAAACACCTTTCCGTAGAATGGCAGCTCATTATTCAAATTTTTAAAAAATCATAAAACGAAACATGTAAAAATACTTTTCCCCCTGTTTTAAAAATGTATGTGTTTAAATTATTTCTCATGTTTTGCAAAGATGATTTTAATTTCAGTTGTATTGGATGAAGCAAGTCTTCCCTATCCACCCATCGACTGATCGCCCACTAATTGGATCATGTTGACCTTGATGAGTCTTTTGATCTCGTCTTCAAGCCTTCAGCTCTCTGTCTTCAGTCTTAGTGGCAAACCCTATATTAAGGTGAGAGTTTAGCATTCATAATTGTCACAAATTAATTCCTGTGTTACTCCAGACATGCTACAATTTATTTTCTTTAAAATAAGTGGAATTCTTATTACGAAGCCAACCTGTCTGTATTTTACTTTTAATGAAAGTTCTCCAAAACCGAACAAATGTAAACTCTCAAATTGTAAATTAAGTTTATATGTTGTTTTCTTGTGTATAATGTACATACATTTATTGGTATTTCTGTTATTTAAAATAACCAGTGCTGCCTTACCTGGAAATGTAATAAAGTGAAACAGGAAGTGTATGAATATAGTGTGCTGTCTTTGGGGAGAGATTCATATTATTATTTATGTGTTCTCATGAAGGTCATGAAGTAAACATTTTAGTACAATGAATGACAATGGTTTTGAGATCCTCACTCCTTTTATGTGTACCATTAAACTAAGAGTAGCAAATAGAAAGACAAAATGACACAACATGTTCAACACAATCGCGACAGATGTTTTACACTATTGTGTGTTGGTTAGTTCCACTGTTATTTCGTTCTGTTCTGTGGATCGGACATTTTGGGAAAGGCGATATATCTATAAAAAGAAACTGAATTGAATTCATTTCAATTTTAACATCTGTCATGGCACCTTTAAGTACAGTACTTACTGATTATGAGCCGTCACCAAACAGCGTGAAAGTCGATATCAGGGAACCTGGCCCCGTGGAAATGGATTCTCCCTGGTTATAATTTATAACATTCTGCACAGATGTAGCCATGGCCTGAACGGACTGTGAAGGCACAGCCAGCTCCAGGATTCGCAGTCAGAGGAGGTTACGTAAAACACGCGTAGCCCTGGTTTCCCACAATTCCTGCACTTGAGGGAACTGGGGCATAAAATTACACAAATGTAAAGACTCGCCTGCACATCTGCTGTCAATTATACAGCAACACGAGCCAATAATGATGAGAGCCTGTCACTGTGAGAGCACGAGGGATAGCTAACACTGCAACCGGCACAGGAAATACAAATCAGATGTTTGTTGTTTTTGTGGGTCTAATGCACTGTGCTGTCTGCTCTCTCCTCTTCAACTCATACTGCTGTCTCCAAAAAAATTAGACAAATGTCTTGACTATTCAGTCAAGTGCATCTTGCTTTAATTTTTAAAATTTTGAGGATAGACACTAAAATAACTCTCTACCATTGCAGGCATGTGCAGTGTGAGATCGCGTCCTGACTTTTGGTTTAAGAATCGAGGGTTGGTTGATGTTAAAATATCAATGTCTTAGGTCCGTGGCAGCTGATCAGGAGAATCGGGCTCAAGGATGGATGAGTATGGATGTGTCATTTGAAAGAGCAACACAAAAGATCTGGTCGCCCAAATGCACCGTATGATTTGTGTGATTGTGAGTGATTGTGTGTGACTGTGTGTGTGCACAGGGGCAGATTAATGCTTTCCCCCCACCTTGGGAAAAATTGACCGGTTACTTGTATCGCCAATACCCGAGTGTCCATCCGGATGTCAGCATTGTGCTCTCAGATAAATTAATCCACCCCTGTGTGTACATAAATATATATATGCTTTTTCCTACTTAAAGCATAATACACACAATCGCCAGATCTGCAGGTTATACACTGTAGAATCTATTATTTCTCTGAATAAACTCAAACTCCACCACTGTTCCTACCTCCAAAGGTTTTCAGTTGCCTTCTGACGTCAACCACCTACAGACAGACTCATATTGTTTCTTGTAATATATAGACAAAAGTCATGTCTGTAGGATTCACCTCTTCAGCCAGCCCGTCCTCATTGTGCTGGGTAATGGCTGTAAATAAAAATTACGATGAATAAACATGATGTGATTCTGTAACTCGTTAATTTTACTCCTATGGGTTCCATTGTGTTCCACTCTCTGGGGGGGCAGTTCTGCACCAAACAAAACAGGCACGCCAAGGACACCCCAAAATGTGTTCCAGAATAGACAAGCAGCTATCCGGTAGCCGTGAAGGACGTTTCATGGGAAGATAAGATGTGCTGTACATCCCTGCCTTGATATGTAAATCCACTGATTGTGAAGTAACAAATGCAACAAGTTCCCCTGCTGGATGCTGTGGTTATTTCAGAACTTGACCTCTTTCAGACTCCCTCCCAGTATTTGCTAGCTTATGTAACGGTGTTTTCAGAAAACCTATACAGACAGCAAGGCTAATTGCTACAAGAATGTTTTTTATTCTACCTACCAAGCTAAATGTGCTCTCAACTTGCCTTTGTAGAAAGTCAAGTAATGCACCATGTTAAAAATTTGGTCTCATCCTTTAAAGAGAGTAATTTAATATAATTATGTCGTTAGAGAAGGTTCTGTTTTCCCACTGTGAAATAGGAAGCGTCCAGTAAAAATTAAATATTTTTATCCTGCAGTAGTAAGTGTGTTTTACACTACCATCGTTTTCTTGGGTCAGTTCACCTCTCTGGGTATGTAACTGCAGGTATTTGTGAAACCTGAATACATAACATTTAAATAGAAAGATGGGTGTATCTGCAAGGGAATCAGATAACACCGTTCAGAAATACTCAGAGGTGATTTTAAAATGACAGGGATTGAAACCCAAAAAGACCAAACTGCAAAGTAAAGTTTTAAAATGAATCAGCAATGCAGCCAGTTATCAAACCAGGACGGCTTATTCCTTGCTTTTCTTTCCATCTTTGTCTACTGATCTACTGTACTCATTGGGTG